TATATATATATATATATATATATATATATATATATATATATATACTCATCGATCTCCTCAAACTAGCGTTCTTGTAGTCGTGTAACCCTAATACTAAAATATTAACTTAGTCCTTAGTTAATTAGAACTATTTAAGAGACTCGTAGTCCTAGTTAACTCTTTTCTAACTCAATTCTCATTAACATTGATCCATTTCATTAAAAGCACGTACACGAGACTTATCTCTATCAATGATCCAAACATAGTGTGTGTTTGAGTCACATTATTTTGAAAGAATGTATTTTGAAATAGTAGATTAATGAAAAATGTGTGGTTAAAAAATGAGGAAAAATTTTGAATTTGCGTGTAATATTATTTTATTGAAGAATGTATGGTTGAAATGATATCAAATCACTGTTTAAAAATGTATTCTCTTTGAAAGAATGCGACTCAATAATATCAAGGCATTGGGTTATTTGTTCACTTGTAGATTGGATTGTTGTCTAACCAAAATAGTAGAAAATTATTTCTTAAAGAATGGTTCAGTGGCTCACCCCCACAAACAAGTCGAGCAACAACCACCTCTGTACAAGCGAGCTCATAATTTGAAAGTGAAATATAGGGATATAAATTTGACTCATCTGCTTGAGCCACACTGACCATTTTTGGCTCGTACGAACCGAGCCAAAAAAAATAACAATAACGAAGGCAACTATAGCTGCTTGTTTTGAGGTAGCTACATGCTGCCTCACAGGCAGCCAGGCAACAGTAAGCTACTAAATGGAGCAGTACAGAAATTTGAAATATATACATGAACAAGGTTTAAAATTTGAAATTCAAATTTAATTGAAACGATTATATTTTTCCTATAAATATGAATTAAATTTTTTAGTTTCATATAAATTTATCGAACAAACAATTAAGATTAAAATAAAATATATATTGGAGGCTTTAATATGAGTGATTGGGAATGTATGAAATTACGTATTTAAGAATATATTGATAGTATAATGGGCGAAGAGTTTCAGCAGATCCAAGTACAAGGATATTGTAAGTTTTTAAATTAATTAGTTTTAAAAAGTAATTTTTAAATTTATTTAAGAAAAATTATACACGAAATATTTTATTCGTGTACAATTTTAACTCCGCATATGATAATTGTAGAAGGTTCCAAGTTCGAAAAAAAGAGGAGGGTTGTAACAGCTGTTTAATTTATAATTCATATAAGTTGCCCATATTTTAAATTCTTTAAAAAATGTTAAAATTGTCACGGCTTTAAAAAAATTTAAAAAATAAAAAGAAAAAAAGAGAGCTAGCTAGGCTCGCGAAGGGGCCTAAATTTTTTGGCCGAGTAAAAGCTCAGTTCGATTCTTCTCGGGCTAAAAAAAGTTAGGTCCATTTTTAATCGAGTTGAGACCGAACTTCGAGTTTTTGGTCGTGACTCGACTTAGCTTGACTCAATGACATTTTCACTAAAAAAATTGACTAGCTGTGAGGTGCAATACACATGAATATGAAAATGAACAAAAAATAAATAAAATATAAAACTACAGTCAAATATGGAATAATAAAATGATAACTTAAGCAGGTATAAAAAAAAATACCCACAGATAATGTCATAAGGTGAATTTTGTCATTAAGGTGAAATCTTCGGCATGCAGCTCAACTCCACCCTTTTTCTCTCAATCTCTACTTACACACTTGTATTTCTAAATGCTGAGGACCTTAGCTCTAGGTATATCATATTCTTTTACTTGCAAGTTTCACAAGATTATTCTAGGAGCAACCTTGGTATGTCGAAAGACGAGGGGATGACTGCTAAGTTATTTTCCAAAGATTACCATACACCTAAAAAAAGACGACATGCGCACAACGAATCCTAATAGGGCTGATGTGCGGAAAGAGCAGCACCAGACTATAGCACGGTACTGTCAAACCCATACCCAGAAGAGTGAATATATAGCAGGACTTTCTTGTATGTACAAATAATTTGTATATACAGCTTGACAGGATGCTACACAGTATCATGTCATTGGGTATCGTCCAAAAAATACAGTGTTTTGCAATCAATACAGTGCTGTCAACACTGCATTTGGCACATGTAAGGATTTAGCCAATTAGCCCACCATCAACCCAATTGCACTTAGCTAGCGCCAACCCAATCTCAAAATAAAGGAACCAAGTAATTAAAAAAATAATACACGATAATTTATAAGATTATAATTACTGGATATTTCGCAAACTCAGACTAAAATTACTGGTTCCCAAAAATTCTCTAATTTATTTGTAACTGAAACATAGAAATTGCCAAGAACCCGTCACTATAAAACATCGTTGAATTTAACATCCATGAAAATTTCAAATTACAACACTGTAAAGGAATCATACTTGTAATTCCCAACCAATTATTCACTGTTAAAAGCCCATGAAAATTTCAAATTACAAAGGAAGCCTTCTGTTGTTTTTTTTCAAGTTTCTTTTGTAAACACATTTATACAATCAAAGCAATGACACAATATCTGAGTTTTTAAAAACAATGGGAACTTACTAATTATGAATCATTCATATTTCGGAAGGATTTGTTGGAAAAATGAGTGAATTGGCTCACTTTTAACACAATTTTGGATGGGACCCGTTGGTCCAATTTTGGGATATCAAAGTTGATATGCGTTCTCCCCCGTAAGAATATCGATGTCATGTATTTATTTGTCAAAAATGAAGCTCGGGTGAATGAGAAATTGGAGTCTAAAGTGGACCATTGGAAATTGTCTATGTTGGTGGGAAAACTTTGTCTCACATAGGAAAAACATGGAAATCAAAACCACTTGATATATGGCTATGCAATGAAATGGTGTGATCATTTGTAGCATAGAGGCTCTTTCCACGTGCGCGCGTAGGGGGGGTGCAAATCACAGACAGAAATAGCTTTTGGACCTTGAACTTAAGTGCGGGCGCGACCTGCACACACGAATGTCGGACCGAACGGAGCAAAAACTGGTCAGTCTGCAGTTTTTTTTTGTGATTTTTCCAAATGACTTTTGAGTGTATGAAACTCCTAAAACTCCAATGGTCTAAACCGAAGTGTAACTCCAAAAAAACTGCAATGGTTAATGCAGAAAACTAATGGTCAGATTCAATCTATATAGTTCACTCAATTCCAGTAGTTCACTCACTGAAATTTTCATCTGCAATTTCCAGCTTGTTTTCTGTTTTGTTCCGTCTCATTCCAGTAAGGTGATATTGTTCGAACACTCGCCCAGTTCGTCGGAGTAGAATCGCGGTACTCGGATTTTGTTGGTTACCGTTGTATCTTGGGAGACAGGCGCTCGAACTAAACTTTTAGCACCATGGTGAGAGGGCGATTTGTCTTAAAGAAACTGTATTTACACAGGCTTCAGGTTGAAATTATATCTGCTATTTATTTAGTTTGCAATTTTGCAGATTTATTTATTTAATTTGCAACGTACTTGAAATTTATGTTAAAAATAGATAAATAAAATTAATTATTTTTTTCTAATTCGTTATATGTGTGAAAAATAGATTTCACATATATGGTATTTCTATTTGTAAGTGAAAAAATTTGTATTATTTTAGTTAGTGTATGAATAAAAACACTTTATGCAAATTTTTGTGCAAATACGGTGAGCTTCGCTTGCAAATACAGTAAGCTGCCATATACGGTGAGTTGTACTGTCAAATACTGTGAGTTGCACTGTCAAATACGGTGAACTGCACTGCCAAATACGGTGAGTTGCACATGCAAATACGATAAACAGTTGTCAAATACGGTAAGTGTGAATCCGGTGTCTAAAACACAAATACGGTATATGAGAGCCCGATTCCACTCCATACACTACCGATTAAATATAACAACAAATACGTATTGGTAGTAAACAAATTTATTTGTTTATTGGAGACTAATAATTGTTTCATTTTCAGAAATGCCTATCGAACGAACCAACATGGATGTGACCCAAACTGTTCCTGCTGGAAATGAAGTTGTGGGCTCTACTATGGCTCAAGGGCCAAGCTCCACTGTGGCTAACTTGCCTAGTCGTGTTGTGAGTCAAACTGTGGCTCCAACAACTGGCCAAACGGTTACTGTTCCGGTTAATCATAGAAAGAAACCGGAGAAATTCAATGACTTGAATTTCAAGAGGTGACAGCAGAAAATGTTGTTTTCCCTGTCCACCTTCAATCTTGCGAGATTTTTAACTGAGAATACTCCTGTACTCAATGAAGGAGAAGGAGATATTCAAGCAGTCAGTGCACTTGATGCTTGGAAGCATTCAGATTTTTTATACTGAAACTACATTATGAATAGTTTAGCAGACATGCTATACAATGTGTATAGCACGATGAAAACTGCTAAGGAGTTGTGGGAGTCTTTAGATCGAAAATACAAAATTGAGGATGCTGGGGCTAAAAAGTTTATAGTCGGCAGATTCCTAGAGTATAAGATGGTGGACTCCAAAACTGTTATCAGTCAAGTGCAAGAACTCCAAGTGATTCTTCACGAAATTTATGCCGAAGGAATGGTGTTGAGTGAAACCTTTCAAGTGGCAGCAATTATTGAAAAATATTCGCCCGCATGGAAAGATTTCAAAAACTATTTGAAACATAAACGAAAGGAAATGAACGTTGAAGAACTTATTGTTAGACTTCGAATTGAAGAAGACAATAAAAGTTCAGAAAAGAAGTGGTTCAATCCTGATGTTGCTAAAGCTAATGTTGTGGAGCATGGTCAAAGCAGTAAGAGTTACAAAAACAAGTTTGGGCCATCCAGTGGAAAAAAGACCAAGCATGGACCGAAAGGTGGAATTTCTAAGAAAAAATTTCAAGGGAAATGCTTCAATTGTGACAAAGTAGACCACAAATCTTCGGAGTGCAGAATGCCAAAGAAGAAGACGAAAGAAGCAAATATGGTTGACTATATGGCACAAGATGTCTCAGAAATAAATCTCGCAGCCGTCATTTCTGAAGTAAACATGGTGGGTTCAAACCCTAAGGAGTGGTGGATTGACACCGGTATTACAAGGCATGTGTGCTTTGATAAAGAGCTGTTTGCTACGTTCGAAGCAATTGAGAATGAGGAGAAGCTGTTCATGGAAAATTCAGTAACCTCTGAAATCAAGAGTCAAGGAAAGGTGGTTCTAAAGATGACCTCGGGAAAGGAGTCGACTCTCAACAATGTGCTATATGTGCTGAAAATTCGTAAGAATTTAGTGTCCGGGTCGCTTTTGAATAAGCATGATTTTCGCATTGTATTTGAGTCAGACAAAGCCATTCTATCAAAAAGTTGAATGTTTTTCGGAAAATGTTATGTTTCCGACGGTATGTTTAAGTTGAATGTAATGGTCGTGAAACCAAAAATGAATAAAGCAAATTCTTCTATTTATTTGCTCGAGTCTTCCAGTTTATGGTATGGTAGACTAGGACATGTTAACTATGATATTTTACGTAGACTAGTTAACTCAAATAGCATACCTAAGTTCCATAATGATTCCGAACATAAGTGTGAAACTTGTGTTGAGACAAAATTGACAAGGTCATCCTTTAAGTCAGTTGAACGGAACACAGAACCGTTTGATTTAATTCACAGTGATGTTTGTGACTTAAAACTTGTACAAACAAGAGGTGACAACAAGTATTTTATTACTTTTATCTACGATGACACAAAATACTGTTATGTGTATCTGTTTAAAAGCAAGGATGAAGCTATAGAGAAATTTGTTCTCTATAAGAATGAAGTTGAAACTCAATTTAATAAGAAAATTAAGGTACTATGGAGTGATCGAGGTGGTGAGTATGGAGCACCGTTTACCGATTTCTGTGCACAACACGGAATCATACATGAAACCACCACACCTTATTCACCACAACAAAACGGTGTAGCTGAACGAAAAAATCGTACCTTAAAAGAAATGATGAATGCAATGCCAGTAAATTCTGGGTTATCTCAGAACATGTGGGGGGAAGCTGTGTTATCAGCAAATTACCTTTTAAATAAGGTGCCTCGAAAGAAATCGGAAACGACCCCTTATGAGTTATGAAAAGGAAGAAAGTCTACTTATAAACACTTGCGAGTGTAGGGATGTCTTGCAAAAGTGGCTGTTCCAACACCAAAGAAGGTAAGGATAGACCCGAAAACTATAGACTGTGTCTTCATTGGCTATGCACGTAATATGAGTACGTATCGATTTCTTGTGTAGGTCCAAACATTCCAGACATACACAAAAACACGATAATGGAATCGAGAAATGCTTCATTCTTTGAAGAAGTATGTCCATACAAGTCCAAAGAGGAAGCAAGTTCTTCTAAACGAACATATGAGACAATGACTGAAAATAGTCAGGACGAAGAATTAGAAGAGGAGACTGAGGTTAGACGCAGCAAAAGGACAGAAAAGTCTTATGGTCCTAATTTTCTGACCTATATGCTAGAAAGCAAACCTCAATGCTATCAAGAAGCTGTGAATTCCTCGAAAGGACCTCAATGGGAAGATGCCATTAAAGGTGAAATAGATTTCATACTGCAAAATCATACATGGAGCTAGTGGATCTTCCTCATGGATGCAAACCACTAGGCTACAAATGAATTTTCAAAAGGAAAATGAAAGCAAATGGAACTATTGAAAAGTACAAGGCTAGATTAGTAATAAAATGTTACAAACAAAGGGAAGGCCTTGATTACTTTGATACGTATTCTCTAGTGACGAGAATAATATCTATTAGGGTGATACTTGCGATTGCTGCTTTGCGAAATCTAGAAGTACATCAAATGGATGTTAAAACAACTTTTCTAAATGGAGATTTAGAAGAAGAAATTTACATGGAACAACCCAAGAGGTTTTTGTTACCAAAATAGGAAAAGAAAGTCTGTAAACTAGTGAAGTCACATATGGCTTAAAACAAGTACCAAAACAATGACATTAAAAATTTGACAATGTCATGATAGAGAGTGGAATTAAAATTAATGAATGTGACAAATGTGTTTACGTCAAAGACACTAAAGATGGCTATGTTATTTTATGTCTTTACGTTGACGACATGCTTATTGTTGGTAGTAACAATAAGATGATTGAATCCACTAAAAATATATTAAATTCGAATTTGATATGAAAGACATGGATTTAGCTGATGTTATACTTGGAGTCAAAATCTCAAGAACATCAAATGGGCTTGTTCTAAGCCAATCACATTATGTGGACAAAATTTTGAAAAAAATTAAACAAGGATGATACTGGCTTAGCTAGAACACCGATAGATACGAGTCAACATCTTTCTAAAAATAAAGGTGAAAGTGTCTCCCAAGTAGAATACTCGAGAGTTATTGGAAGTCTAATGTACTCAATGAGTTGTACAAGACCAGACATAGCTTACACAATCAGTAAATTGAGTAGATATACGAGTAATCCAGGAAATGATCACTGGAAATGTATAATAAGAGTACTGAGTTACTTAAGATATACTCGTGACTATGGAATACACTACACCAGACATCTAGCGGTCATTGAATGATACAGTGATGCTAATTGGATATCTAAATTAAAAGACTCAAAGTCCACTAGTGGATATGTGTTCACTTTGGGAGGTGCTGCCATCTCATGAAAATCCTCTAAGCAAACGGTTATAGCCAGATCTACAATGAAATCTGAGTTTATAGCCCTACATAAATGTGGTGAAGAGGCCGAATGGTTGCGCGACTTCTTAGAGGATATTTCAAGATGGTCCAAACCTGTGCCTGCAATTTGCATTTATTGTGACAGTCAATCAGCAATAGGAAGGGCATAGAGTAACATGTACAATGGTAATTCTAGACATATACGTCATAGATACAATACCATTAGACAACTACTCTCAACTGGAATTATCACAATTGACTATGTTAGGTCCAATGATAACATTGCGGATCCGCTAACCAAATGTTTAAATAGAGAGTTAGTTGGGAAATCATCGAAAGGAATGATACTCAAGCCCTTGAAAGAATAAGTCATTACAAAGGAAACCCAACCTAGTTGACTGGAGATCATAAGATCTAGGTTCAAAGGGACAACCTAACTATAAAGACTTGATAAAATCACTGTGGGGGTATCACCTCCTGTCCATTTCTATGATATAACAGTGATACCCGTAAGGATGAAGGTTAGGCAATAGGCTTTTAATGATTTATACGCGTCGAAATCAAACCAAGTAATGCGGGTTACTTGTAATAAGAAATCACCTATGTGAGAAAGAAGTGGGGTCGCTTCTAAGAGAATTGTGTGGGGTTCAGTTCTTAGAAACTCTCACAGAACCAGGCATATGTTCATGGCCAAAACGAACATAATAATGAGAATTGAAGGGTGCTAGGAAGAATCTTGTGTGAAGTATACCATCATTTACACAAATGGCAGAACAGTTCAAAGATATCGCATCGCATCGCATCTACTGGTCAGCCAGTAAAGTAAATATGATTTTATAAGGGAAGGTTCAAAGGGTAACACCTACCTATCCTATGTAGGTTTCAACCGTTGAACTTTATCACCAAGACTTATGTCTCACGTTTCGTGTCTCTCCCAAATTTTTTTCATGTGGGAGATTGTTGGGAAAATGAGTGAATTGGCTCACTTTTGGCACAATTTTAGGTGGGACCCGTTGGTCCAATTTTGGAATATCAAAGTTGATATGTGTTTTCCTCCGTGAGAACATCGAAGTCATGTATTTATTTGCCAAAAATGAAGTTCGGGTGAATGAGAAATTGGAGTCTAAAGTGGACCATTGGAAATGGTCTATGTTGGTGGGAAAACTTTGTCCCACATAGGAAAAACTTGTAAACCAAAACCACTTTATATATGGTTATGCATTGGAATGGTGTGATCATGTGTAGCATAGAAGCTCTCTCCACGTGTGCGCGCAGGGGGTGCAAATCACGGATAGAAATAGCCTTCGGACCTTGAACTTGAGTGCGAGTGTGACCTGTGCACACGAATGTCAGACTGAACGGAGCAAAAACTGGCTAATTTGGACTGTCCGCGTTTTGCAATTTTTTTTGTGGTTTTTTCAAATGACTTTTGAGTGTCTGAAACTCCTAAAACTCCAATGGTCGAAACTGAAGTGTAACTCCAAAAAAGCTACAATGGTTAATGCAGAAAACTAATGGTCAGATTCAATCTATATAATTCAGTCAATTTCCAGCAGTTCACTCACTGAAATTTTCGTCCGCAATTTCTAACTTGTTTTCTGTTTTGTTCCATTTCATTCCAGTAAGGTGATATTGTTCGAACACTCGCCCAGTTCGTCGGAGTAGAATCGCGGTGCTCGGATTCTGCTGGTTACCGTTGTATTCTGGCAGACAGACGCTCGAATTAAACCTCTAGCACCACGGTGAGAGGGCGAATTCTCTTATGGAAACTGTGTTTACACAGGTCTCGGGTTGAAATTATATCTGCTATTTATTTAGTTTGCAATTTTGCAGATTTATTTATTTAATTTGCAACGTACTTGAAATTTATATTAGAAATAGATAAATAAAATTAACTGTTTTTTCCTAATTCGTTATATGTGTGAAAAATAGATTTCACATATAAGGTATTTCTATTTGTAAGTGAAAAAATTTGTGTTATTTTTATTAGTGTATGAATAAAAACACTTTATGCAAATTTTTGTGCAAATACGGTGAGTTTCGCCTGCAAATACAGTAAGCTGCCATATACGGTGAGTTACACTGTCAAATACAGTGAGATGCAAATACGGTGGGTTGCACTGCCAAATATGGCGAGTTGCACTGCCAAATACGGTAAGTGTGAATCCGATGTCTAAAACACAAATACAGTATATGAGAGCCCGATTCCACTCCATATACTACCAATTAAATATAACAACAGGATTTGGTGCAAAGTTTAAATTTTGTGACACAATATGAGACAAGGCCCCTACAACAAGCACAAAGAAGAGATTTGTATTCCCAATCAATGGTCTATATCAACGCATTAATTGCTTGTCTTATAAGGTCGAACATGGAGATTTGACGAATTATATAACGCCCTTGTTTGAGCCCCGTTTTTGTAAAGAAAATAAATTTTTGAATAATGTATTGATGGGAAATGTGTGGTTAAAAAATAAGGAAAATTTTTTGATTTGCGTATAATATTATTTTATTGAAGAATGTGTGGTTGAAATTATGTCAAATCACTGTTGAAAAATGTATTTTGGTTGAAAAATGGGGATCAAACAAGGGCAATATATTCTTGAATCTTGTACAGTATAGGGTATCACACATATAATTTAAGGATTTAGTCATTACAAGTACTCTCCTATTTACTCTATATTCTTTGATTCGAAAATCAAATACAATAACCCTATAAACTATATGCTCAAGGCACATGAAAACTAATCTAACCGACTTTAGTCATATTTACATGTTTTCTCCCCATCGAGTTTTGAAGTTGTTTTTTAACCATCAAAGCATCAAGCACATCTTTTATAGTGGCATCAAGAACTTCTGGATCAGTGGTCTGTTGTTCGTCTATGGCATGTCGATCAAGACTAATGCCAACCAAGTCTTCTACACAGTTCTCTTGATCTTCGGCATTTCTTTGTTAATCACCTCTTTACTAGGAGATTTTACAACACAAAACTCCAATTAATTGAACAAAATTATCAAGAGCTATAGACTTTTAAGAATGAGCTATATATTGGTTCTCAAAAACACGTTATTATAGAGACAATGCAAGCCACGTATTTAACAATGTTATCAAATAGTTATACGAACCAATGGATTGGATAGACTTGAACAATAGATAGATTTGTACAAGTTATATGTTTCGTCACCACTTTTATCAAAAGATTCACGTACAAGCACAAAAATTATCATGTGAAATGATATACTTAAATTTCTTCGTCTTTGAATCATTGTAAGAATTATTCTACTCAACTTCACTTGACTGATCAAACATGGTACTTTAGCAGAATTTTGTAAAATTCTTCATGACAAGAAGGGACTTTCGATTTTCTTGCAAGTTGGCTTCACTAGAAGAATTTAAATCTCTTAAAATGGCATTCTTGCTTGCTTAACCTTCCTTGGGCATGACCTCAAAACCTAATGTTCTCAATTCCATAATAGTGAGAACACAACATATAGGTTTGTTACATATCTGTTGGGTAGTATTGGTCTTCTCAACCCCAAAAGCTAGTTCAAGAGGTGAGACTTTCACTCACATTTATAAACTGACAACCAGCCCCTTCCACATCCGATGTGTGATAATCTC